AATAGGTTGAATATTATGTTTACGTGTAGGAGAACCCCTATGGACCCCCAGAGATACCGGTAAATAGGTAAAAATGTATGGTTTAACTAGTATTATTCATGAGAATGTGTAAATAATTGTTATTTTGGTTATTGTCTTCACTAGTCGAATTTGAAAACTTAAAAGATGGATATGAAACTTGTATTTTTACATTAAATGAAGTTATCAAGAAAGAAAAATGATTCATTGGTTGTTTTGTGATATATTTTCACCATTCTACCGGACGAGTTATTGAGGTGGTGGTACGTTGGTGCCAATTACTAGACAAGGTATGGGGACGACCAGTGAATTAATAGGTTGAATATTACGTTTACGTGTAGGAGAACCCCTATGGACCCCCAGAGATACCGGTAAATAGGTAAAAATGTATGGTTTAACTAGTATTATTCACGAGAATGTGTAAATAATTGTTATTTTGGTTATTGTCTTCACTAGTCGAATTTGAAAACTTAAAAGATGGATATGAAACTTGTATTTTTACATTAAATGAAGTTATCAAGAAAAAAAAAATGGTTCATTACTTTTTTTGTGATTTTTACCCATATTTGATTTTCCGTATCGGTTGTTAAATATTAGCATTTTTACGGGATAGTGTAGTTCATTCTCTTTATTTAACTATTTTATATCAGGAAGATCAATATCCGAATCTTGAACATAAAAAAAGTTAGCCACTAAAGATTATCTCTCTTGTCCCACCGGAGTCACAAAGCGGAAGTCGACCCTATAGGATTTTTAGTTACATTTCTATTTATGTTATTTTAATATTTTTAAAAGAACATTTTCGTAATTCTATTGGGTATCTTAATTTACTGTGTGAGTAATGTAAATCATAAATTCTCAATTGTTTCCGCTATTATTTCGTTAATTAAATATTCCATTTCAATAAAATTTTGGGTATTTACAGAAAACATTAATAATTTATAAAATGTCATAAATATTAATGGTTGTTTAATTACTAGTAGCAAATGTATAGAATTAGATATATGATTTATAATGTTTGGTAAAAATTTGATTGGCTATGCAAATTTATCTCTTGTTTTCAAACAATTTGAGAGATATTCTTTGTCAACTTTGTTCAAAACCTCTTGCAAATTTTTAAGATTAAAAATAATAATTAGACATAAAAGTACTTCACTTCCATTTAATCTTTAATTAGTTTATTTAAAAATATAATCAATAAAAATGACTCATCCCACTCTCACAACAAAGGTAGTCAATTATTAGGATGTATAATCATGACCCACTCCCATATTTCTACAGGGATTTGATTTAGTGAGTCAAATAAAAATCACAACTATTGAATTATCCTGTAAATATATATATATATATATATGACTAATTAGATATACTGGTTTTTAATTATCAGTCACCGTAGGAGGTAATCTAATATTTATTATATTAGTTCATGCATTTGAACTAATTTTATATAATTTGGGTGCTTGGGGAGTTCTCGCCGGCAATTGTCCGACGTCGTTTTCTTCTTTTGTTTTTATAAAAAAATATTTTGGATATGCAAGTAATATGCACGTGTCAAAACGTAGTGCTTCTCTTTTTTAAATAAAAAAGAACATTTAATAAATCAGACATAAAAAGATAATTATCTTGTAAAACAAAATTAGAAAAAGAGTAAAAAAGAAAAAAAAAAAAAAAGGAGCCTTTCTAAATAAATAAAGTCTCCGTATATACGTATAAAGTCGTGTCATATTGATTTGAATTGTGTATACGTACATATATGCATCAATAGTTTTTCAACACGTGTTTCCAATAACAAGAAGACACGTTGCTTAAATGTAAGAATTTTTATATTGTAAATTGAAAATTTATAAATTATCAAGCACAAATTTTTATTTTTTAATAATAAAATGTAATTATTTGTATAGATAATAGGTTTATATTTTACATGATGAGCACGTTAAAATAAGTGGATTGATTTGTTTTTAAATCATATAAAATATCGAAAACTTTGGATTAAAAAGTTATTCCTTTCATTAATTTTATAATAAATAACATAATTAATAAAACGCATGATTTTTTTAATAAAAATTTGAAACTAAAATTAGAAGAAGTCTGCTGGGTGACGGAAATTAAATAAATTCAAAGAAATTAATAAACAAATTAAAAGAAAAAAAAAAAAAGAAATGATGATAAGAAGGAATCTAAAGGCGAGTAGAGCAGAACGCGTGAAAAAGCAAGTGGGGAAAACGGAGTGCTTGAAAGTTGGACTCTCAAACCTTTTTTTGACTTTTCAAAGTCCGTCCGCTGAAAAAAAAAAAATTAGGTAACAACTTTATTAACTTTATATTATAATTATTTAAATTTATTAAACTAATAAAAATTGGGTGTGAAGGTATAATATTCCGAATTTCATCGGAATTTTACAGTTTGAGCAAAAGTATTATTCGGATAGATGAACTTTTTTTAAAATTTAATTTAAGAAAAAAAATATATATTTTTATTATATACAAATTAATAATTGATTGAAATACCCATTTGATTATTTAAATATTACACAACATTTATTTAAGTTAAAAATAATTTTTTTTGATTATTTTGTCTATGCAAATTGAAAATTGGAGGTAAATGGGTGATGGAATTTTAGATTAGGTTTTAATATAATAGTAAGGAATAAAAAGTGAGGAGGATGGGGAGTTTTAGGGCAACTCAACTACTACCGAAGGCTGCATAATTTAGTAGCTTTTCAGCGTCCTCGATATTGACCTTATCAATACAAAGTCAAAATCTTATATATTAGCTTTTATTTATATATATATATATATATATATTTAACCTATTGTAACTATATTAATAACAAAAAATTAATTGTTATTTATTTTAAAAAATTATTTTATCTTTAAATTTAATTTAATTACTGTATTTCAACCAAACATTTATTAATTTTATACATAATTTTATTATTAAATCTGCACAAATTGTTCCATTTTAATATTAAACTTGATGAATAACTTTTAGAAAAAACAAAAGAAAAACAGTGATTGTCTAAGTCGGTAGTTTTTAATTTAAAAAAATTGTATAAAATATTTAATATCATATCATATCTTAAATCTTTTAATTATTATTAACACCATAATAATATTTAAAATTAACACAGAATGAATGTGCAATTAAATTTGTTTGATGACGAACGATGGTTTTTTTTAAATATTATCGAACTAGCTACTATGTAAATAAATTCATTGACAATGTTAGTGATACTTAATAAACGTATTTATAAATATCATATTTAAATTAATAGTAATTAAATTATAGTATTAGTTATATTAATAATGTACTAAATTGGGTGTGACTAACAAATTGTTAATTTCATGTGGATACATCACAAAAGTTTGCCAACGTGGGAAGGCTCATTATCTGTATGTACTTCACTTTGTACTCTCATCACCAACCTAATTTCTTATCTAAACCTCAATTAATTAGGTATTAACATCCTATTAATAATTAAATATATATGTGTATATACGAATGAACTGCCAATACCTTTTCCTTATCCTATAATAATTAAAGAAACATTATAAATATGATAGCTTTCAAAATTACTCGAACATTATAATTTTGGTATAATCAATTAATTGCTTATAAAATGGCTAATTAAAATTAAGCCAATTGGGTTTTCAATTAGGAAGATCCCACCGACCAATATGATTCAACAAATTGTTTTTGATAATCAATTGTTTTTTTTTTTGTTGGCTTTATTAAATTATTTCCATACATTGTTTAATCATTAAATTAAGTATGCACTAACTTGGTCTTAAAATTAATTAATACATCATTTCCCTTTCCTTAAGGGGCTTAGTAAATATATTTGTTAAAAAATTGATGCTTTTGTACGTAATGGTGTTTTATGGGCATTGACATAATCATATATTTATTTTTATATGCATAATTATATGTTTTAATTGTTTATCTTATGCTAAGAACTTGACAACCCACACAGTGAGTTGGCTTAGTAGCGATAAGGTATATTATTTTCAATAATACGTACGCACATATACATACACAATTATCTTTTGATACGAGACATTATAAATAGGTAAATTTATTGGACTTTACGTGATGGAACTTTTATAATTTCTTGTTATAATCACTACTTGATTAATCTTGTTTTCGTTGATAATTTTTAGATTTTAATAAGATATCCGTCAATTTGGTAAATACGCCACGAAGTTAATTACTATAAGTTTTTAATATAAATTATTATCAAATAAAAAATGCATAAAAAAAACCTACTTGCATTATTTACTATTGGAGAACAAAACCAGAGTTTTCAAACTTTTGTTTTTTTTTTTTTTAAAAACAACTCAAATGAGTTATAAGATAAACCAATATATATGCATATATTTATATATATATATATATAGAGAGAGAGAGAGTTTTTGTAGTATAATTATTAATGGGCCCAAATTATAATTAAATCAGCCCACTTAAAACCCAAAGTTCCCAGTCAGTATTTTTTGATGGCCCAAAAGTTTAATAATTCTCACCAAAATTTGTTATAATTATATTCATTTAACATAAAAATAAAATAAAAAATAATAAAGAATTAAAAGGGAAATAATTAAATTGAGAGACGAGAAGAAATTAGTACATATCTAACACTATATTTATATATATATATATATTTACACACAACATTTTTGGTAGAGTGTGAGAACAGAAAATTTCAAACGAATGCTTATACTCATTTCATATTAAACTGAAAAAGAGTTTAAAAAATCATAGAAAACAACATAAAATATCACCTGCAGAAGCACTAGCGGCTACTATAATATATAATAATGCTCACATACGGATATGAGATTGTCCAAACACTTGGATATCATGTAATCTCCAGTGATTATCAAAGGATGAAGACGACTAAAATTCTACACAGACCTCAATCTCCTACCAATTAAAACTCAAAGTTAGAGAAACTGCTCATAAAACTCAGCATTAGCAGTGGATGTGAAAATAAGCATGAGAAATACCTCTATGGCAGAGTCAGGAGCCTCAAAAGAATCATAACTGATGAAACCAAAACCATGGGAGTTCTCTGTATCATGATCTGTCAAGATCTAAAAAAGGAAAAATGCTACATATCAGATAAAAAAAAGTTCAAATGTAAAAATAATGGATGGAAAGTAAATATGCACCATACAAAATTTAATGCTATATAATACTTGATTGTACCCAAGCAATATCCGTCAAGGGCATATCCTAAAGAAAAATAACCTTTTTCTGAACCAAGCAGGAAAGAGCAGCGCCAACCTCAACGTTGAGATGGCAAAGAACCAACAATTTGCAGGAAAGAGTCAATGCTATTCATCCCATAAATGGAATTTGGAGAATAATTGGTCCAACGCTACCTCTTTCTATAGGAATACTCAGAATGAAATGGAGGTGAAGAGAGCCTCAACCTTATGCTTTAGGTTTGGTGACCAATATTACCCAAGTCATCAATGCAGCGCCAAGACAGTGATGGCAGTAGAAGAAATGGAAGAAGTCAATGAGGAAGATGAGGTGAAATAGGAAGAAATTGAGAAGATGATTCTTCAAGCTATAGAAAGGGTTGTGATAGGAGGAACCCTCAAAATTAGAGGATTATTGGGAATGCAGAATATTATCATCCTACTTGATA